CTGGCTGGGGGATTCTGGGAGTTGAAGTCCACCTATCTTAAAGTTGTTGAGGTTGACGAACACTGATTGAGAGTGTCGCAGGCCTGTTTTCACAATTGATCGGAGACAAGTTGGGGACTTGGGTGTGTGGCTAACAGACAGGTGCAGAGACAAGGGTGCAGGGGGAAACCGAGTCACCCCCGGGGGTTAAACCACTTTTTCCTTCTCTCTCCCTCTACAGAACTGGGCTGGAATGCGTTGTCCGTATAAATTGCTCCGCATGGTGCTGGCGCTGGTCTGCAGTAAGTGTGCTCGCCTCATTCATTTCCTCCTCGGAGGCTTCCCGCACCGAACAGCCTGATCCGTTTTAGGCAGCATGATGAACCAACAGGTTAACCATAGTTTATCGAAGAAGCTACAACTAGCTGGGTTTCCACAATCTGCCACAGCACGCGTCGTAATTTGCAAACCAGGGGGTGGGTTTACGGCAAGCCTTGGTTCGGGGACCAGCCGTCCTCCAGATATTGTTCAACAGCCTCTCTTAACCGTCAGGATGCTGAGAAGTACAGTTTAGGTCCGCTGGGGCAGCGGAGGGTAACCTGTCCTTGTGTACCCTCAACAACGACAATAACAATAACCGTAATAATAATAACAAAAATAGCAACAAGGTTAGCAAAATGGGGGAACCACATGTCCACTTTTCCCTTTAGTTTGACATCAACGCTTCTCCTTTTGCTGTTGCAGGACACACAGCTGAATGATCCAAGCCCCCCTCCCCTTTACATGCATCCCATCCACCATCTTGACTGTTTTGACCACCCGCACCCCCATGGACGCCCCTGCCACGCCTGTTTTCTTCTCGTTTACTTGTTTTTTTCCTTGCTTCCTTCCCTGGCTCCCTCCCACAATATTAAAGAGGAGCAAGGCAGAGGTTTATTGGCGAGAGACGCCCTGAGGACTAGAAACTTGACCTTCAACCTGTGTCTCTGTTTCTCTCTTTCTCTCTCTGTTTCCTCCCCCTGCAGTGAGTTCTGAAGTGGGCCGGGCAGTCTGGCTGCGTTTCTCCCCGCCGTTGCCCTCTGCGGGCCCCCAGCCCAGCTTCATGGCCCACTTGGCTGGGGCAATCGTTGGGATCAGCATGGGCCTTACCATTCTCCGCAGCTACGAGGAAAACCTGCAGGATCAGTGCGGGTGGTGGGTGGTGCTCCTCTCCTATGCCACCTTCTTGGTTTTCGCAGTCTTCTGGAACATCTTCGCCTACGACCTTCTGGGCACGCAAATCCCCCCTCCCCCGTAGCCGCCTGCCCAGCCCCGGTTCTCTTGGCATCTGCTGACCCTGGAAACGCCCAGGCTTGCAGGGCTCAACGTTGGGTGGGGGGAAAGGGGCTGGGCTGGCACCCTCAAGCAGGGCAATCCGGAGCGTGCGTCGCGGGTCCCGTCGGAGCGATAATCCCACCGGATGCCGAAAAGCAAAGCCAGGCGGGAGGCCGGCGGAGGCAGGAAAGCGGGGAGAATGGTCGGTGAGCGTGGGGGGGAAGGCCACCTTGACTAGACGTTCTCCGTGCGCCTGGCCACGCCTGCAGAACGGGCGCGTGCCCCCCTTCAAACAAAGAAACACCCTTCGGAGTGGGCACTCGGTGACTCATGAGGATCTGTAGGGTTTTGAGGGGGAGGAAGGAAGCGAATACCCCTTCATCCTGGCCATTCCACTGAAGGACACTTTCCCATCCAAGCCCAGCCTCGGTCCAGCCCTGTGCATCTGCTTCTGCTGCAAGGCTGTAGTAGATGCCTTCAGTTAATTCCCTGTGTAGTTATATGGACTGAATTGTTGGGGATCTCCTCCTCCCCCTCCTCCCCCTCCTCCCCCTCTTCTCATGAAACCCCTTTTGTTTCTTGCTTCTCAGCTTCTGATTGATCTTTGGGGGCCACTCAGAGGCAAAGGGCAGTTGAACCTTGTTGTTCTGTATATTTTAATGTTGAACGCAAGAGGGGCAGGTCTCAAAGGGTGTCCCATCTTTTGACGCAGAGGTACTTCCCTCTGACCCTGGGAGAACCTTGAGTTTTCTCTGCAGGGAAGGGAAGAGGCAGGACCTGCCTGGATCCAGAGATACGACTTTCCAAACTCAGTGGCAGAGTAGCTAATCCCCTGTGTTGTTATACAGACTGAATTGTTGCTCTTTTTCTTCTTCCTTCTCCTCCTCCTCTTTCTTCTTCTTCTTCTCTTGCTTCCCAGGATCGGATTGCTCTCTTCCTCCTATTCCTCTTCTTCCCCTTCCGACAAAGGTCTCAGCTTGGACCCTCCACGTCTCTAGGGAGGGCTGAGGGGCCCCCCATCTGCAACCCCCAGAAGTCATGGCTCATCACTTAGTGTCCCATATTTCCAAGCTGGGTCCACAGCCTGATTTAGCATGAGGACGCTTCCTGTATTAGCTCATGGTCTCCACAAGTTCTAACCCTAAAGTAGGTTCTCCCCTGAAAGTCTCATAAGCCAAAAGACCTCTGGTTCTGGTATTTGTCCCTGACATCATTCTGTCCCTGTCCCCTCCTGCAGATCTCACTGCTGAACCCATCGGAAACCACCGTTTGATCCTAACGGAATAGCGACTGAGCAGTTGGTCCTGTGCAGGCTAAGAGTTTCGCTTGTGTAGGCTGGTTTCACAATCAGGGTTTAGTCTTATCAGGGATTGCCAAGTTCTGGATTTTCCCAGAGGGTGTCTACATGGGGTGGGTGATGTTCTCCAAGTAGTTGGAAAGGTGCGTGTCTAAAGTGTTATTTTTTTCCCCATATGAATTCTCCCCTTATTGACAATCTGGCTTTAAATAGCACAAGCACTTTGTTGGTGGTGGAAGGAGAGGGAGAAACCACAGCTGAGGAGTTTGGCTTAATCCGAACGAGCAGTCTAACTCAAGCCCTCCCAGTATTTTTAATCTCCTCCTGAACTTTGGAACATAACAGGGTTAAAGCCACTCTCTCTCCCAGTGGCCAATTTCTCCTTGACCTAGATGACCTTCAGATCTCTAGGGAAGGCTTGTAGCAATGCTGCGTACAGGATCGACGTGACGGCAGCACTTCTAACTTCCTCCCTGGACGGAAGCAGAATCCAACCGTGAGATGTAGGTTTTGCCCACGGAGGTGCAACGCCAGGCCGTGGCCAAAAACAAAGGAGGTGTCTCCAAGCCAGCTAGTTAACTCTGTGGCCCTGCTAAGACCTGGAACGATTCCGTGGGCTTTCAATTCGCAGCCGAGCTTCAAAACCAAGTTGGGCACCTCTGCCCCGGAGTCAGCGGGGAAGGGCGAAGCAAGGGGCGAGGGGCTGGTGGCTGGAGTTTATTTTGGCAGATGCTCTCCGCACTGACCGCCTCCTTGCTCTTCCCACCGCCGCCTCTTGCAAAATCCATCTGTCCGGGGAGAGGTGGAGGCTGGTGAAGAAGGAGGCGGGGGTGAGCAATCGGCGGAAGGAACAGGGAGGTCGGGCAGGGCAGGGCAGGGCAGGGCATGGGGGAAAGGGAGTTGTTGTTAAAGCAATGCACTAATCCAGATTAGAAATGTGACTGGGGGTGGAGAGAAAGACGTATGTATGAATAAATATTTTGCACACCATCTGTCTGTTTGTTTTCTTGTCACTCCTAAATTTCCGAAGCTGGCTGAACGGATGGGTTACAGTTAAAAGGTGGCAGATGGTTCCAAAACGCATCCTTCTTCCAAAAAGGGATGGAGAAAACATAATTGGCTGCACTTCCCAGGAATCCAGGGCCAACGGTGGTTGGCTGTACACCCAACACCCCTGAACTCGGTTACCTAATTCTTCCCGTCTCTCCCTTTGCAGAATACCCTGGACCGTCACTTAGGCAAGCTGGCATCGGGCACTACAATGCGGCCAGCGGGGGGTTGAGGTGCCCAGTTCAACCTTTGTGCAAACCCTCTCCCAACCTGGTGTTGAAAAGTAGGCAAGAGGTTGACGGGGTTCGAAAAAGGTGGGCGTTGGATCCCCGGATGGGAGCCTGTCAGGAAGACAGTGACGAATGCATCTGATAAACAAGCAAAAACGTGGCTGTGTGCCAGGGTGGTTGCACTGATGTGTGTGGGAGGACAGCAGTGCACGCTTGTGCACATTCACACACCCTGCCTGCCGGTCTCTCGATATGTACAGCTTCAAATTATAGCTTAGTATTGTGTACACGTAGGTGGTTCCACCGAGATAATGGGGCAGATGATGTGGGTTTTGAGAGAGTCTTCCTGACAGGTAGTAATTGCACAGAGCTGGAGACCCCTGGACTTCACGAAACACCCACAAAATATTTATCGGTGCAAGGCAGATGGGTTTGGATTCAGCAGTCTGTGCCACATGGCAAGGCCTTTAAAAGGGGAAACGGCAAAAGAACAGCCCATCCTCAGCTACTAAGAAGGGTAAAACCGAAATAGTTGGATTGAAGCTCTGAATTCTATCAACAACCCTCTTAGATCATGCTGGAGACTGGTGGTTCCTTGGACAGGGTCTTTTCTTAGCAACAATGCAGAAATGTGTTCTCAGGGCCCTCTGTTCTTGGGTTTTTGGGGGGGGTTCCCCAACCCCATAAGGAGTTCCTGGTGGTCTCCCATCCAAGGACTAATCTCAGCCTGGCCTTGGAGGACCAGGGAGACCCCTTGCCTCATCACACTTGCCCTCTGTTATCTTGATCTTAATGGTTTATTGATTTTATTGCTAAGTTCTCTGATTGCTGTGAGCTGCCCAGAATTGCTGAGAGGCAGCGTACAAGTTTAATAAAGCAATATTGTTATTATTGCGGGTATATTATTATTATGGTTGGTCGCAAAGGCAGCCAGATGTTTCGACTGGATTTGGCATCTTTATCCACCTGTCGAGTCCTTCCCAAGGACCTGGGAGGGGCAGATGTTGTTGTTTGATGGGGTCAAAGGGATCATCTCAGGATGGAAGCCGTTCCAAGTCAAGCTGCCTTTGGCAATGGACTGACGGTGATTTTGTCAAGGCTGATGATGTTCCAGGGGTGCTCCAGATGTTTTGGGATTGCACCCAAGGCACCTATTACTATTGGTACTGTCTTTGCCTTCTTTTGCCACAGTCGTTCTATTTTTATTTGCAGACCTTTCTATTTTGTGAATTTCTCCAGTTCTTTCTCTTCTCTTCTGCTGTCTCCAGGCATTGCAATGTCCGCCATCCAGACTTTTTTGTCTTTCTTATCCACGATTGCTAAGTCTGGAGTGTTGTGTGGCAGGTGCTTGTCTGTTTGAATTCTATATTATTATTATTATTATTATTATTATTATTATTATTATTATTATTATTATTATTCAATCCTGTGTACAGAACTTTGGAAAGGCACAGCAAAGACTGCAAACCATTTGCACCGTAAATGTTTCTACGACCTGGCAAGCTGTGAAAGTGAATTTCTCAAAACATACCAGTCCATATTTCCACAGTCGATCTTTCCACCAAAAACAACGTTCCCCCAAATTCACGGAGAGTTTGAAAAACCTCACTTTGATCACACAGAACGTTTGGTCCTTTCCATCTTCTGCTAGATTCCTGCCGCTTCCTCATCGCGCAATCTTGCCCAACGTCACCACTGTCTATCTTCAGCTGCTTTTCCTCCCCCCCACCCCCCGGCTTTAGAAAAGTATTCAAGGATCCTGTTTTGGAGTGCTTAAAATATAGCAGAAGTTCTGCAAGCCGTCCTTTTTAAAAATACAGCTGGGTAGAAATATAAGAGACATATTTTTAACTTCTGTAGCTGTTTTTTGTTTTATTATACAGAAATAAGAACAGCTCGAAGTGGCCTTGAAAGGCAGATAACAGCCTTTTCTTCCTTTGCACCCTGATTTCTTCCTAGAACTCTTCTGAGCATCGTCAACCAAGAGAAAGTTTCGTGCTCTTTACAAGCCTCTCCCGAGACGTTCTGCAGGGAGGCAATGCTGCCGAAGTGGTAGATGCGTTTGAAAGCTGGAGAGCACTTCATTTTATCTGATTTATTTTATCGCAGGTACTTTTACGTTGCTTCAATCAGGCAAATCTTAAGGGGCTTGAAACTCAAACAGAATGCCTGCAACAAGTATCAAGGCTCTTCCAATGTAAAATAACCATAATTCAATCAGAACTGTCATCTTGGTAGAACCACAATCGACTCTGCCCTGCGCGCTCAAGGTAACAACTTAGCCTGGCTTTCATCCCCGTGAAATAGCCAAGTTCCGAACCGATGTCGCGATGTTAATAAAGGAGATGGAGTCCTGATTTTTAAGACTGATTCTGCAGGAAGGATCTCCTGCGGAGAAAGCTCAGCTTCTGTACTTATGGGAGGTGAGGGGGGGTTAAGGACGCTTACCAGGCCTGTGGGGGGCACATTTCTCAAGGAT